TCAGCCAATCATAGTACAAGGATCTCCATTCTGTAGGGTGACTGAGAAATAAGAGTGCAATTATTATGCAAATCACCCCCCTCCCACCAATTAGACTGCAGGAATTTTTATAACTGTGCAGTTGTGGGTCACTGACTGTGAAGCGTTGCTGTGCTGTATTTGCTGAGGCAATTCCAGTTTCGCATACAGTGTTCAGCATTGCATTGTCTGCCTGCCTGTCTCTTTATAGCACATTCATTCACTGTGGGATCTGAGCATCCAAGAGGTGAAATCTGAGCCTTGTGATCAGTCTACAAATAAGTTGCAAAGTTAGTCGCAGAATATTTCCCCGAGGAAAGAAAGTCCCATGGTTAATATATTGGACTGGGACTCAGGAAAGCTGGGTTTGGACAAGAGCTCACATTATGGGGTCTTCAGTTTGGCTAGTGCCTCCCAGTGCTTCTGTAACATACACTAAGAATGATGAATACTGGGGATGTCATAATCACAGTAATTTTCATGTGGCTGGTACTGATCTCTTAATAAAGTACTTATTTAAACAGAACTGGAGCAAACACAAGTCCCCGCAGGCAGGAAATCCACATGATCACTATATTAAGTGAAAAGGGTTCTGCGGGAGCCATAGTACAGCAAGAAATGCTATTAGTGAGACATTGTTGGAAAGTTTTTCTTTCTGTTTGTCCAGTAAAAGCAAAATGCTACTTGTTTTCCAAGAAGAAAGAAGAGGATGAGGGGTTAGGAGAATTCTCCTTACCTAGGGTAGGCTGAAGAGGATATGTGAAATGATTGTGACAATTTGTGACACTACAGAGCTACCCTTCACTGACGGGTCTGTGACCTCTGCTCCAGCACTACTGTAACGTTGCACTCACAATGCAATTGAATTTTCCTTAAGGGCATTGTTGCAAAAGAGATAAATTGTGGATGTGCTTCTAAGCAACATCACACTGGCTCACTGCTTACAGGACGATTGCCTGAGCATTGCTTTGAAAACTGCTATTGAGCAGGGACTCAGAAAACAGGAGCTGACAAAGTGTGTGTGGAAAAGGAGATAGAAAAAGAAAAACAACCCAAAAGCAATGGATGAACCACTTACAGCCTGCTTTTTTTAGCAGAGCCTGGCTTGACTAAAAACTACATTTACATAATACCTCACAAAGACGGCGATTCAATTCTGGTCACTCCACTGAATTCAAGTTTCCTCAAGGCACGGACTCTCTAATATCAGGTGGCATGGAGAAGGATCCACATAATTCACTCTCACCTTTAGCTTAAGCTTATATTTTCTACCCCCTTTTTTTCCTACCCCTGCTTTCCCCACCAGAGTTGTGTTCATGTACAATACATACCCAGAGCTGGGGGGAGGGGCTTGCCATCCTCTTCACAGGCCAGTCCTTGGGGCCCAGCAGGCGCCGAGGCGCCCTCAGCATCTCAACATAAGTAATGCACTTGGAGATTTGGAGCAGTCCTCCCACATTCTCCCAGATCCCCACCTCTGGTGGTGAATCCCGGGGCTGCTGCTGTGAGCTGGTGGCTGTCAAGTGATTTTTCCTTCTGTAAAGCTAAGAAAGGAACAAGTTCACTATTGCAGCAGTGATTTTTTCAGCTACTGGTGACCAACTTCTGCAAGAGCCGCATGAAAATACATTTCTTGCAATGTTCTACAGCCGTGCCATTGTCTACTTTATACCTGTTCCTGCCCAAGCCAGGTATGTGTCCTTTCTGTTTAGGAATTGTCCCACCTAAAAAGAAGTGGCAAAAGCTGTGTGTCATTTGCAGGGATCCTGGTTTTCCGTCTCCCACGGAAAAAACACAGAAAACCACAGATTTCCTCTTTTTATCAGAGAAAACGTGGATTTCTCCTTTTAGCAGAGAAACCTGTGGATTCCCTGCTTTTGCAAACAGCTCTGCAGGATGGTTGAGCTCCAGCCTGCAAGAGCTGTTTGCAAAAAGGGTGGGAAACCCCCAGCCCTGCCGGGAGTGGAAGGGGGAGGGTAACGGTGGGGCCTGAGGCTCTCAGTCAGCCACAGCTCCACTCAGCTCAACTTCATTCTTCACTCCTGGAGCCTGAGGTAAGTGGGGCTTGCAGGGGGCTGGGTGCCCCTCTGGCAGGGCTGAGGGGTTGCAGGTCATGGCTGGGGGCACTGGCAGGGCTGGGGGGAGCCAGCCCCCCCAACCTGAGCAGGCAGCCGCAGTGGGGGAGCCAGGTCCATGCTGCTTCTGCTGCAGCTGCCTGCTGTTGGGGGCAGGGAGCTGCAGACTTGGGTCCCTGGCCCCATTGCCTGGGGCCCCCCCTCCAGCAGGGCTGGAGGGCAGGGGCTGTGGGTGGGGGCAAGAGGCACGAGTAGAGGGCTGTTGTGGGGGCAATGAAGGACACTAGCAGGGTTGGGATGGCTTTGGTGGCAAGTGAGGGGCACCAGCAGGGCCAGGAGGTCATTGGGGGATGAGTGAGGGGCACCAGGGGTGGCTGCAGAGGGCTTTTAATTTTAATAACAGATTTGGGGGTTTTATCAGAGAATTTGCTATTTTTTTGTCAGAGAAAACCAGGATCCCTGGTCATCTGCTAGTTATTCTGAAGAGGGGCATTCACTAGGATGCTCAAAGGCATATAGGGAATGACAGGTTACTACGGGTCTGATGCTGACCTCATGCAGTGATCAGACTGGGGATGGACAGATGCACCAAACCAAAACAGAAGGATTTACATAAGACTGATGTGTAATGTTCTCTCATTAGGGGAGCAGGTTTTTCAGCTTACATGACTTCTGATTCTTCAGTGTCCAGTTTGAAGTGTAGGTACAAATTTGTCTAAGAGAAGACTTTAGATCAGAAGTGTGTTTGTGGCAGAAGTTAGCTGTCACCTACTAAAGCTTATGCCTCTCTAGTGAGATGCCACCCTGCCCTGCCTTCAGCAAGGGAGAGAAAGAGAGACCAAAACAGCATTTAAAGGTGCTGAGGTCATTTAAACAAAGAAAATCACACATCTCCCACAGAAACATATTTATACCGTATCAGCCAAGTCGAGCTCTTTGGAAGCCCTAATGACCTATTAGGAGTGTCATACAAGCACCTTAAAAGAGGCAGGCTCACTGCTTCAGATAGTGTCTCAGAGAAGAAAAACTCCTCTGCAGCAGAACTTCATCTATAAAAGGTTGTGTGAGTGAAAGGGTGCTCTCCGTGGCCAGGAAGGATGGGAACCAACCTTTCCTTTCTGCCAGGAGGATTTCTAACGGTACAAAGGATGGCTCCTTGCTCTTGGGTTGAGTGAAATCGAAGCACATGATGGGTGGGTGCTAATCACAGGGGTTTCACTAAAGCATGCACTGGCACTAGTTTAAAAGGGAAGCTAATTTCTGCTGAATGTATTATCCTGGGATGTCACACAGCGATGCTGTCTGTGTTTCTCTGCAGGCAATGATTCCTGTTGTAGCAGGAGCTCTCTCCCACGCATACCAACAAGCAGTGTGCCACTGCCAACAAAATCCACCTTCAGAGGGGTTACAACTTTGTCAGAGTTTAAACCAGACGAGAGCAGGAGAGCAGGGCTGGTTAGGCTGCGTGTTTTGGAGGGGAAGTGGATTCTGAAGATTTCCGGGGCTCTCTGTGAACGGTCTGGAGTGCATAAGCCTGGCTCGTGGGTTTTTGCTGCCATAAGCAAAGTAGAAAATGTCACCCACACAATAAGCAGTCACTAAACAATGTTCTGCCCTTCATGTGTAGCTGCTTTCTAAGCTAGTGGCTATTGTGCAAACGCAGACATGGCCCTAACGGTGGTGTCTAGAGACTTAGTCATCTGTGTGTATATGCAGATAATGCGGTGTGTGCGTTATGTTTATCTGCCAAGCCCTGGGGTGTGTTTGTCCCATACACGTGTAACCTTATATACATGTGTGTGTGCATGTAGCCCTGCATGCTCTCATTGTGGGTTTCTTGCCTAGTCTAACTATATCTGTATTGTGCTCACCAGTGCACATGTGTGTGTTCTAGTGTATATATATATGTGTGTGTGTGTCCCAGTGTGTATGCATTTGTACTAGTGTGTGTGTGTTAGTGAATATGCATGTGTACCAGTGTGCATGTCTGTGTATCAGTGCGTATACCAGTGTGTGTGTACCAGTCTGTGTGTAGCAGAGCACATGAGTGTGTACTAGTGTGTATGTGTGTACTAGTGTGTGTGTGTGTACCAGTGTGTGTGTGCCTGTGCACGTGTGTATGAGTGTGTGTGTACTAGTGTCTGTGTATACTAGTGTGTGTGTACCAGTGCACGAGTGTGTGCCAGTGTGTGTACCCATGCACATGTGTGTGTACTAGTGTGTATGTATGTACCAGTGTGCGTGGGTGTGTATATCAGTGTGTGTTTAGCAGTGCGCATGTAGCAGTGTGTGTGTGTGTGGGTGTGTGCGGTAGGTCGGAGCTGAGCGCGCAGGGCTGCGGCGCGCAGGCAGCCCCCCATGTCCGAGGTGCGGGGCCCGCCCCCCCCCGCCCCGCCCGGGGCGCCCCGAGCGCAGCGCCGTGTGCCC